ACCGTAAGACATTGCATTAGGTAACGCTGTGGTGGCTGTACTGCTCCAGCCGTCTCCTTTGTGTTTGTTTGTTTCCCCCTGTCTGTGTTGTTTGTGTGTGCGTGGTGGATGTCACTCCTCCTCCACTCACCTGCTGCAATCAGCTGTGCGCCCTCCCCGACTACACACCTGCTTCCCATCAAGCCATTTACAACGGCATATCAACGGAGGCTCCACAACCTTTCTCCGCCAGATCGTCAAGTATCAGCCGTATCTCGCGTCTCCCCTCCGGTACACAGCACCGTAGTGTGGAGTTGCATTAGGTAACGCGAGATACGGCTGATACTTACGCATTAGTTTCTGTTATGGATCAGTATCAACAGTCCTGCCAGTAACGTTACTATATTATCAATGCTACGTTAGTTATAGCCTGATATATGATAGCTAACTTCACAATGTTGTGATGTTACGTTAGCTAACATTCTGTAACTAACGCCGGTCACTCACCAAGATAGCTGCCCAGTTCTCCACTGGTTCTCCTCACACCACAGCTCAATTTCTCTCCGATGGCCGTTATTTCTTCTAATCCTTGGCTGCTCCAAGTCTCTTGGACGCCTAGCAGGCTCATAATTATAAGGTTGTGGTCCGTCATATGCATTCGAATATTCATGTTCAACTTCTTCTCTGTCGAAACTAGCATTGGGAGCCATGTTTATTAATACATTACACCGGCCGCTCTCCCCCTTGTGTCCCCCCGTGTTACGTCACACGCGGGAGGTCACGGGAGAGCGGCCGGTGTAATGTATTAATAAACATGGCTCCCAATGCTAGTTTCGACAGANTTGTTACACAAACAAATCAATCAACCCGAGGGGGGGGGGGGAGAAATCAGAATAAAACATTTTAAAAAGTTGCTCACATGGGCTCAAACATGGCACCTTTCAAAATGTAATTTAACGTTTAATTCAAACTAATTTTAGAGCATTAGAGAGCGTGGGGATTTCCCTGCTCGGTGTTAAGGAGGAGGCTTCACAGAGGTGGTGGAACCTGTCCGCTTCTGGATCTTTTCTCCTGCTTTAATCCCAGAGAGAGTCACACCCATCACGCTGCCATTGTGCAGCTCAAACCTCTCCATGCTTGACAGAGTCTGGGTCCTTGAGTTGATCATTCTGCAAGCTCAGCTCAAATCACACTCAGGTATATGCACATGCATACTGTATATTCGTGCAGTCTTAATGCCACACACATGCAATTTAAATTGTTGGCTTTTAGTATGTTGTGCATTTGTTTAATTGTTTACCTGCGGATTTTGGGCCGCGACCGGGTTCCAGGTGTTAAACAGGCTCTCTTTGTGTCTGACTCTGGAAGTTAAGTCAAGTCTATTAGTTTCTGACAGTATCCAGAATAACTTGTCTTTCAACAGTTAATCCAACTCAACAACACTCTGACATTTACAGATTAATGTTTGGGTTTCTTTAAAGTTGAAAGATGACTCAATCCTGATTCAGAGATGCTAACAGAAGAAACTGTGCCACCTTCTCTGCACATCTTCGTGATATGTTGCCTCCTCCAGCTCTGGACCTTGTCTTTTTTTAGTTCTTTGTATCCTATTGTTGCCTTTAAAGGATCATTCAACGTGGGTGATGTTTTTGTAGTTCAGCCCATAGCTTTTGGTATGCTAAATTGTACTAGAAATGTTACTTGTCAAATGTGGTAAAAGAGAAAGGTCCCTACATTATATTGCGGAGTGGCAAAACATGTGAGCATTCAGATGATCAGACATTAAATGAGTTAGCCAGATTACAGAATATAAACTACTTCATTTGGAGGTAAAACCTAAAGCCAGCGCACCAAACATTACACTTATAATGCCTCAATGCACAGGAACCCTGTGTGTGCACAACTACATTGAGTTTGTTTACAGTTGTTTACATCTGAAGAGCTTCACCTGTAAACTTTAGATGTTTATAAAAAAATATTTTCCCCATTCATCTTCAGTTTTCTCCACCAAATAAATGTGGATTAATTAGGGGTTTGATAGAAACCCTTCTGATCATCTGACTCCTTTTCTTTTAGCAATGTTTCAGATGTCATCAAATAAGTTGGTGATTAAAATGTCATAATCACACAATGGTTGCCATATCTACAAAATGCATACAGATATCACTCTCTCATACATAACACGTTGATATTTACGTGAATTGGCGACTGAATTGTTTGTGTGCAATTGAATATTGTCTGCCTCGATGTGTTTGCCGCTGAAACCATCTAAAATGAATGGGATTTGCTTATGGTTGGACAGATGGATTACTGACCAGGCGTTTATTTAATCTCTGTCAATACAACGTTTCCCACAGACACACCACTGTACTGCACCTTTCTATGACCTCCCTTCTTCTTTCCTGCTTATTCTATTCATGAATTATCATTCTGTTTATTATGTCAGTTAATATAAACCCCCTGATAGCATACATGGGGAACAGACCATGACACCACCTGTGAAAGCTAAACAAAAAAAAGGAAAGTATCTGCTTTCGGCCGACTTCCCCCTGCACCTGCACAGAGAGAAATCCAGGTGAGTAGGTTTCTGAGGAGAGAGATTATCAGCATTGTTCGACAATATTTCCTCTCCTCCCTCTCCCTGGCTTACTCACTCATTCATAATGATTCCTCTACAGTTGACCCACCTTTGACCTGAGTTTGCACCTGAGTTCGGCTACCTCTGCTAAGCACAAACCCAGGGCACCTCAATACACAACCACAAAGACCATTTTACATGTACCTACAAACTGTTTGTAAGACAATAAATGTCTCAGGGTGTCTTTGTGTGTTTTAAAAAATGTGCTAAATTTACAATTGGGAGGGGTTACATTGCAATAACAATCTATTCCAGGTTTAATAACAGCAATTATACTGATAGCAGGCCTTTAGAAGATTCTGTCCACAAAGGGGAAGATATGTTGTGTTTGAGTGCCTGCACACAAGATGTGGCTTGCTTTGGCTTTTCCCCTTAAGTACAGATAATCCACATGTGTCAGTGATTGAGGAGGTACAAATCCCACTGTAACAGACACACAGGTGGCACTGCAAAGAAACAGCATACCAGTCTAGATTTCTCTCCCTCTCTCTCTGGCCAACTATCATGCAAGGATGAGTCAGAAGAGCAACCTCCCTCTGTACAACCTAGATACAGGAATGCGTGAGACCTTACACCAACACTGCCAACTCATTAGGATACTAAAAAGTGTCCTGCTCTGCACCACATCCTGTTTGAGTGATAATGACCAAGTCTCTCCCTAAACTCGTGCTGCAGTCATTGCCAGTGCGTGTGTCTTATCTTTCTTTCGAATGGAAACTATCTTCAATTATCCTGCCGTAAATTGTAACCACTAGAGACTAGACAATACAACGGCGAACAAAAAATGTATAACTAATGACATATAATGAGTAATAAACATCCAGCAAAGGCATTCGAAATATCTGCACCTTCAAAGAACCGAGGCATGATCTTCTCACGCGCTGCCAACCACAACACTTAATTAAGTACATAACAAATTAAATTATCGAACACAACAAGGAGCACACGATCTGTGTGCGGTTTTGATAATTGTCTCTTTATCGTGGGAAATATCAGATATCTTTTATTTCAACAAGCCTCTAAAAAGGAAATAAAACAACATTCTTTGGTTGAGCTGATCTCACCTCGTATGCAGCTGGTGATAACAAGTCATAAACAGTCCTCGCTTGGCTACAAAAGTCAACAAGAGCGCTGACAGTGACATGAACGGAGGAGGCTGTGGCTCAGTGGTTGGTGTGCTGGACTTCAAATCAGGGGATAGCAAGTTTGAGTCCCGCTGCATGTCGTTGTGTCCCTGGGCGGCACTTCACCCCAAATTGCTCCTGTGGGGATTGTCCACAGTATTGAGTATGTAAGTCGCTTTCGATAAAAGCGTCTAACGAAGGACATGTAATGTAATGAACAGTCATTAGTAGTCCCTAGAGCACATGTATCAAACTCAAGGCCCGGGGGCCAAATCAGGATAATGTTTAATTACTGGATCTGGCCCGCCGGTATGCACGCACACCTTCACTCAACCCTGAGGGTTTCCTCAGCTCAGAGCCTGAGCCCAAACATTGAGCAACTTGCACCCGAGATGAGATGCCAAGTATCTGCTTGAACTAGCATCACAGCAGCACTGAGTTTACATGGATGTTGCCTCTTGCACTTTGTTTCTTGAGACAACAGGGCATGTTTGTTTTTTTCTTTGAGGGAAATAGTTGTTTTGAAGCTGTTGTTGGCCTGTTGAAAAATGTAATCATAAGAACTGCAGATAGAGCCATAAGAAATGAATGCAACTGATCATTTAATGTCTAATGTTGTTTTTATAGGCAATAATTTAAGCTTTGTTAGTTCCAGGTTTAATATGTGCAATAAGTTAATTTCAATAAGTTCTGCAATAAACATTGAACCAGTCCGGCCCTCGACTAGTTCTCATTTTTTAAATTTTGGCCCACTGTGTATTTGAGTTTGACACCCCTGCCCTAGAGAATAGATCATAATTACTAATGAAAGCCTGTTTGTGTTTTGTTTTTTTAGATGTAATGACATACAATTTGGTCCCCTGGCCTACAGGATGAATTGCAATACTCTGTTGAATCCCTCATTTTGCCTTTAGCTTTTTCATCAGGTAAAAATTTCAGGTTGAGAGTATTACCAAAAAACTGCAAAGTTAATCACATATCCATCTGTCTCAAATGTAGTACTTTTCAAGTGCTAATAAGCAAATGTTAGCATGTGAACATGATAAACTAATATGGTGAACATGGTAAACACTATACCTGCTAAACTTTAGCATTGTAAGCACGTTAGCATGCTGATATTAGCATGTTGCTCAAAGCACAGCTCTCGCTCAAAGCAGTCTCACAGAGGTGCTCATGTTTATGTTTTCTCATCATGTATTTCTATGTTACCTTTGCCAAGGAGTTGATCTTTTCGGTTTTGGCTGTTGCATGTTTGATTCTGTGTCTCAAAGTGCCCTTCTGGTTTTGCATCTTGTGTTTATCTTTTATGTTGAAGTGTCAAAAACGAGACACTTTGAAAACAGTGTACTTTACAGTTTCTTTTTTTAAGGAGCTATTTGATATTACTTACAACTACATACAGTTAATGATTCATTTGTTTAAATATCAATCCTATCACATTCAACAAAATCAACAGGTACAACATCGTACAAAAACAAACATGCATTTCCATAGCCAAGGCCCTTTCGGCAAGTGCTCCATATGCCAAGCTTAAAGAGACATGTCAAGAGTTTGACAGCTGAGGAAACACGACACTGTGCTCAAATATTTCGGTTGAAGCTGTTTGAATACCTGCATCTTCCTAGGAATCAGAGGATTTAAGCGGCGGTGAAAGCCTGTCAGCAGACACACACAAAAGCCTTTTTGTGCGTCACTGATACATTGCCTGCGAAAGTAGCAGCGATTATGATCAAAATGAGATGGAAGATTAAAAATGAAATGTCCATTATTGCTGCAATAATCCACATACAGATTTGGAAGGAAAAAAATTAAATGTAGGCCATATAATGAATCAAGTTAAACCATGTATTTGTTTTAATGATGAACATGTAGGCCTATTCCAATTATAGGTGGAGAAGTGTTTGTCTCTTTTTACTTATACTGGGATCAATAAAGTACATCTTTTAGGATTTGGTCACAAGATCCATACCAATCTCATGTCTGTGAGTATATGAAGATACAACCCAGTCTCCCGGCATTTCGTGTTATAGTCACGAAATGTATTTAATCTATTGATTCGTGTTCACCAACACGATTTTCGCACTTCTTTCGTGTCACACAGAACGATTTCAAAAGCAATGTATTTCTATTGGTAGTATATTTCGTGCCTGCACCACGTCTTTTTTGTCCCGTCGGGTCTTGGAAGACCACGACGCAGCTACCATGCAGCTATGCTTTGCAAACCAAGACCACCGAAGTCTGGCAGATGCAGGAGCAAGGAACCAAGATGTCTGTGGACTCCTTCCTGAAGACTCACAACCGAGTCGTGCAGGTACAACTAACAAGTAATGCATGCCTCGTTTGTATTTTAAAATCTGAAAATTGAACTGTGTTTGTCTTTCTAGTTAAGAAGTCTGAGCGCCACCATGTGTCCTATTTTCCTGGAGGTTCTTTTGAAGAATCAACCAGAAGGAGTGCAGCTCTCGGTGCAGGAGATGAGTTAGTCAGATTATGCTGAAGCTATGCTGGGAATAATGCGGACATGAGACACATGTATATCTAAGTAGCTCTAGAAATGTCTTGATTTTCAGATTTTCCTAATTTCACTGTAGGCAAATTGACATTGTAGATCTGTTTGTTGTCGAAGATAAGAAACAAAGCCAAACCATGATAAAACAGACTTAAACTCGTATGAAATAAAACCCCAGATTAAACACCTAATCATTATGCATACCCCTAACCAACACAAGTCTTCATTATGCAGTCAAACACATCTTATTTATGTTTTAAAACTTTATTAATCAAGATTCATTTACAAACCTTTAAGGCACTTATTTTAGTCAATAACATTGAATGGTGCAAATACAGTATAGATCAAATAAAACAAACAGTTGGCATTTTACAATAAACAAAACAATCATTAACAGATTAAGGGTCTACTCAAGTAACATAAATAAGGAGAAAGGTTTCTGGGAATGTTTTGCTTTTTGTAATGAAGTGACTTCCATCCATTGATGCAGGGCTTACCCTTCGGTCAGAGACAAACATCTGTCATAGACACCCGTTATCTCCCACTAATGATCTCTCTTCCTGTTTCCTCTCAGCACACAGAGGTAGATTACAAAACTCGCTTCAAGGGCCGTCCTGAACTCGAGGGTCTCCAGGCGAAGATCAGCCACTAGGACCCCAGACTCACTTTCTCCACTTTCACTTTCCTGACTCCTTAAACTGTTTCTCACTCACATGTTAGATCTTTAATTGTTTGTATTTATTTTGCATACAAAAAGAACTGTACACATTCATGTTTGACTTTCTTTTGTGACAATTTGAAGACAATAAAACCAAGCCTACTTTTTTACAATGCAAAACATTGTTATTTATGGCTCAAATTCAGTTTCTTTGTAACATTTCACTCGACATACAAAACTCTGGTAGCACTTTACAATAAGACTACCCTTATAAAGGGTTTATAATTAGGTTATGAATTAGGTTGTAAACACTTTATTAATCCTTAAGAGCCATTTGTAAACCAGTTC